AGTTGACTAAAATACAGCTTTTTCTTCATCTAATTTTGATAGTTAAAGGCGAAAATTGACTAAAATTCAACTTAAGGTCTTTTTGTTTTTAAGATGATTTTTTTCAAGATTTTGGTGAAATGTAAAAAAAGAAAATTTGGAAATGATTGAAATTATTTTTTAAAAGTTAAAAAATTAAGCTTATTTATATAAATATTTCTATATACCAGAAATAAACTCAAATAGTATATTAAATCAATATTATTTTAGCAAATCGGTTTAATTCAAAAGTTCAGTTTATTAGAATGATAATATCATCATCCTTAAGAAACGATAAAATAATCATTCCTTAGAAACAATAAAACTATTATCCCTAAGAAATAATAATACCATTATATTTTAGGAATGATAAAACCATAGTCTCTAAGGAACAATAATACTATTATCCCTAAAGAATGACAATACTATTATCCTTAAGGAATAATAATACTATTATTCCTTAGAAACGATAAAATTATCATCTCTAAAAAATGATAATACCATTGTTCCTTAGAAATGATAAAACCATCATCTTTAAGGAATGATAAATGCATTGTACCTTAGGAATGATAAAACCATCATCCCTAAGAAATGATAAAACTATTATTTCTAAATAATGATAATACCATCATTTCTTAAAAATGATAAAATCATTATACTTAAGGAATAATAATACCATCGTTCCTTAGGTATGATAAAACTATCATTTCTTAAGTATGATAATACTATCATCCTTAAAGAACAATAAAATGCATCATACTTTAAGAATGATAAAACTATTATTCCTTAGGTATAATAATGTTATCGTTCCTTAGGTATGATAATACTATTATCCTTAAGGAACGATAAAACTATTGTATCTTAGAAATGATAAAATCATTATACCTAAGGAATGATAATATCATCATTCCTTAGGTACGATAAAACAATCATTCCTTAGGTATAATAATACAATCATCCCTAAGGAGTGATAATACTATTATCCTTAAAGAATGATAAATGTATCATTTCTAAGGTATAATAAATACATTGTTTCTTAGAAACAATAAAATTATCATACCTTAAGTACAATAATACCTATCATACCTAAAGAACAATACAATCATTTCAATCAGTTATAAATAAAATAGGTTGAATTTTGATATATACCAATCGGCTATAAGTATGCCAATCAGTTATAAACAAGATAGATCAAATTTTGACTAATTCTTAGCCAATTCTGATGTATGCCAATCGGCTAGGCTGAATTTTTGATAAATTTCCAAATTTAGGCTGATTTTAGGCTGATTTTCACATGTCTGATTTTTTTAATTTTGATCAGTATTTAAGTTATAAACTATAAAAGAAATAAATACAAATTTATTTAAGTTGAAGGGTCAGGTCATCTTTATTGTAATTTATGTTTTAAAGAAATAGATATTGATAAAGATATAGTTTTATGTTATTTAGATTAGATTATACTTTATTAATTATATGATAGAAACTTGCTTATTTGTCAAGGTGACAATGCAGGATATTTATATAAAATACAATTATAAGATAAAGATTATAAATATAATAATGAAAGTAAATATAATTATGAAAATAATATAGTAAATAAAATAATAATAAATATAATAATAAAGAAAATAAATATTACAATAATAACCGTAATAGTAGTGAAATTAGTGAAAATGATGATTACGATTTTCCTAGTAATCATTGCTAAAATTAATCAGTGCAGTTATTTAGTAATACAAATAGATTATTACTAACAATATCATAAATTTTACTTCTCTTCAGTTGAGAATTTTTGAAAAATAATGGTACGAAACTTATGGCAGTATTGCTATCTGCATTCCATTGAGTAATATTATCAACATTTTCTTTAAATAATATGAAGCTAATTTATATAAATATTCTGATACAATTTTCAGTATGCGAGCTTTAGACTAATTATTTGCTTCAGCAGCAATTTCAAAGCTTCTAATTCAATCATAGGGTCTTTATTATTATTTTCATAGAAAGGTTTTACTGAAATAATATTACTTTCTTTTGGTGTAAGATTTTTACCATTTCTACCTGAATCAGACGGTGTACTTTTGATATCTTTAGCAAAGTCTTTGAAACTTTTCATCATGTGATCTATGAGGTTCTTTAACTGTTCAGTATTTATTGTTATTTCAGTCAATTCAGAGGTTGTAGATGTGAGAGTAAGGGTAAGATAGAAGTATTAAAAGATTTTTCAAAACACTTAGTTGTATAGATAATTAATAATAAATATTGTAAAATAGAAGGTAAATCAGCAGGATATAGGTAATAATTTAAACAATATAATAATGCGACTGCTGCTTTTATTGTTTTATTATTATTATAAGCATTTTCGTGATAGCTATCTAAATAAAGTTTAAATGCTATTAAATAATAATCATTATATGCTATAGTATTATATTTATTAGAGATCTAATTCCAAAAGTTTTTAAAACTTTTTGTTACTGTTTGATTAATAGGATTGTACTGCATACAAGATGCGTCTTTTTCTAAAGGTGAATTATTTCTGTATACTTCTTTATGATGTTCTTGGATTATTTTTAGAATGTTAAAACTAGTAGGTATATTTATATAAGTTTTAATAAAGACAATTATAATCCTGACAGGAATCAATAATTTGTTAACTTTACGCTCAGCTCATTGAACTTAGGTAACTATGACTTAATAATAGTGAGTAACGTATGAGAAACTACTAAATTACTGTGAAATAAGTTTTATCACAATTAACCTTAGGTTTATTTTTTTAGACGAGTAAATAACTTTAACAACTTATAAATACAATAAATATAATTGATATGTTGAAGGATTTTTAATATGTGTAGTTTAGAAAAAGATTCCTTAATTATAGAGATTTGTATTCTTAGTAATTCTTAACCTTGGATTTTAAGTTTTAAACTTGAACTATTAAGTTATCACTATTATCTCTACCCTTTAGTAAGAACAAATTTCTATTCTATTTATACAAAATACAATTATAAGAAATTACTATCTAATGCTAAACTATTTTAATGCTAAGATAAATATAAAGATAAATTATAATTTAACAATGATAATAATATAATAAATAATAATAATAAAATATAAAAATAAATAAATAAAATAAAAATGGTAACTAAGTTAAAAATGCTAATGATGTTAATAATGTTAATCATTTGTCAATCTTTGTGATACAACAAGATTGACTTTATATGGTATTAACATGATATATTTAACTTTATCAAAATATTATACTAACTATATTTTGAAACTTTGTGTATAAATCTTAATCTATCATATCATGTTAAGTTTATATATCCTATTTTTAAATATGTAAACTTTTATAATATAATTCAAAAAATTTTTTTAATATAAAATATATAAAATCTTACAAAGTTTCTTTAATTATAATAATATATTTAAAAAATTATTTTTTTACAAATGATTAAAAAAATACTGATAATTTTTTTTAGAAAAAAAATAATAAAGTACTTTTTTAGTTTTTACTATAAAATTATGCTTCTTTCTTTTTTGATAAAAGAATCTTTTATTTTGCTAAAAGATGATTTTTTTTTTTACTAAAATAATCTAAAATAAATAATCAGTTTTTTCAAAATGTGAATAAGTTATTTTTTATTAAAATATAAAAAATTTGCCAATATGTTAAAAAAAGAGTTATATTATTTGTTACACAAAAATATAAATTTTGTGAAATAAAAAAATAATCCAAACCTTTCTAATATTAGTTTTACATAATAATATCATAAATAATCAATAATTACTGATATTTTGAAGGAAAAAGAGTATTGGCTTGCAATTATAGAAAGTTAAGAAAGTGTAAAATTTTGTAATCTAAAGTGACTTCAACTTGAAAATACATTTAACCTTTGGGTTGATAATGTAATTAATATAAAGTAAGATATTAATTAAAAACTAAAGTAAAATATTTTGCTAATCAACTTTTAATAGAAGATTTTCAATATTCAGATAGATGGTTAACTGGTTTTAAAAATCATAGTTTATATTAATTTAAGAAGTAAGGTGAAGTTGCAAGTATACTTCTGTTAAATCAATTGAGTATTACTTTATAATAACTGCTAATATCTTATAATTTTAAAGATATTTGAAATGATGATGAAACTGGTCTTTTTAGAAAATGAAACCTTCTAAAATTTTGATACTAGTTCTCTTAGCAGATCATAAAAAGAAAAATCTCAAGTTATAATATTATTTGCAACAAATGCAACTGGAACATAAAAAAGACATTTATATTTATTTATAAATACCAAACTTCTCACATCATAAAAAATATTAATTATAAAATCTTCCAGTATACTATTTTTGGAATAATAAAGTTTGGATGAGGTTGATATTTTTTAATAAAATTCTTATTAAACTCAATGAAAATATGAGATAAAAAAAATAGAAAGATTATTTTATTAGTTGATAATGCACCAGTACATATTATTTTAGATGAAACTCAAGAAATATTAGATAGAGTAAAAGTGAAATTTCTTTCACCAAATACCACTAATGAACTTCAGCCATGTGATGCAGGCATTATTAATTCATTTAAATGCCATTATAAACGTCTGTTCATTCAAAATCAGATTGATAATATGCAGGGTGGTATTTGTAGAAGAGCTTGAAAATTAATACTATCTATAATGCTTTACTAAATGCAGCTGAAGCATGGTCTATGGTATTGCCCCAAACAATTACAAACTGTTGGAAAAAAACAGGTATTCTTCCACCAAATAATGAAATTGAAGAAACATTTGAAGATTATGATACAGTAATTTCCGATAGGTATAGTATATATAATTTATAAATATGAATGCTATTAAAAATTTTATTAAAATATTAATTATAAATTTATTTTACAGTTTGATATAGAAAATTGAAGAACTTGATATGTTAATTTTTCAACTTACGAAAAGTGATCTTTAATGCATACGAATATCTTAATATAGAAGATGCCAATGCCAGAAAGTGTTCTAACTGATCATAAAATAATTGATGCTATATTAAATATATATAAGGAAAAGGATATGATGGATGAAGATGAATTTACACATATATTAGAAAAAGTTAGTTTAATGGAAGCGGAAAATTCTGCAGATAAAATAATAAGGTTTTTATATGAGCAAGAGCCAGAATTTGGCGAAGTAAATGAAGAATTAAAAGTTCTAAAAGGATTACAAAAGCGAGTGAAGTTACAAATTATAAATAACTTAAAACAAGCCGATATTAACAATTGTTTTCAATAATATGTATATAGTCAATTGTAATGTAATACTTTTATAATATGTAATAGTTTTAAATATAATAAAAATAACTAATTACATTTGAATTTATTGGTCAATTTATATACCGAACAGTTCGGTGTAAAACACGAATTTTATATAGCGAACTCACTCTATAACGAACCAAAAGTTCCGGAACAGCTGGTTCGTTATATCCAGAGTCGACTGTACAACGAATAATTTGCTTATAAAAACTCTGGACTTTACAACAATTTCCGTTTCCTAGTTTGTATAAGATTTACTACTATATTTTCAACCAATTAAAAATTAAATATAGCAAGATGACAACGATGGGGATGATCGTTTCCTTATCCCGTCGAAGTGAAGGCAAAAAGAATTTTATTGTTACCATCACGTCAAAATCTTGCGATTGTTCTTTATTGTAAAAAAAAATAATAATAATAATCAATTATATTATTACATTCTAAATGTTCAGTAAATATTTTTATCAATCTTTCATAGCAGGATAACTTTTTCCTGGTTTAGTTACTTTCATAAGGAAGTTTTCCGATTAATATCACTACCATGATAAATTATGCCAAGGCTATAAATATCGATATTTTTCCAAAGATCGTAATTTGAAAAATAATATTCGTTGTTAAACAATATATACTTCCAGATATTGTTTTTAAAATCATCATGGCAATAAAGAAAATGGGTAAAGCATTTTAGATAAAAGTTGATTCTACTCATACAAAGACATTTTATAATAATAAAAAAATATTCCAACTAATTGAATTTACTTGATAAAAATAACTTCCACGTAATTTACATTCTTTCCAATTCTTTTTAAAGAATTTAGTATGCAATAATACATTTGTAATACCTTGAAAATTCATTTTAGATCATAAAATATCGGAGCAATTCTCAAACCATTCTTGAATGTTTTGCAGCTTCATGTTTATAACAATAATTATTATTTGTAACTATTATCAGTTTTGGAACTAATATATATATATTTGGATAACGATAAGCAATTTTGTACAATAAAGTTGGCGCAACGTAATTGGTACTGGACTTGGATTTTTTAATATTGTGTTTGATCAAAATAGAAACTTCATTTATTAATTTTTTTTGTTATACTTGGATATAATCAAATTCCCGATTTGAGAAAAAAAAAGTTTCTTCTAACGATTAAAAATTCTTTTTAATTTTAAGAATTTCTTTATATCCTTAGAAAGAATTTTCGGTGCATAATGATTGATCATCCTGCGCATTTACAGCAACAAATTATATCTGATATGACATTCTCTATTTATATACAATGTAATATATTTCAAGCTAGATTGTTGTTACATCTGATCATCTTTCGTTCGTGTACTTTGTATTGATTTTTTACAAATCCACTTGATTCCAAAAATGGTTAGATGAAACTCACAATAATTCGAAAACAATCCATGATTTGCGGGAAAGTTTTTAATTTGGAAAATTATCGCAAGAACTTCCTTTGTGCGATGAAAAAAAAAAAAAATCTTATTTGACGTTAAAACTCGAAACACCTTCCGCACAATCATTTCTTGTTTAATTATAAGTATCATTTCCAAGGGGATGTTTGTTCTAATTGTGATATCTTGTATGGTCGCACCAAAGAATTTTTAATTATGACGCAGTAAATACATTACAAAGAGAAGGTTTTGACGTGTAAAAAAAAAAACTAAAAAATTTTTAACGTTTCATTTCTCCCAAAAATAAAAAGTTCTATTGCAACCTGTCTCATTTTTAACGACAAAGAACAAACCTTTCATGAACAAAGTCTTTCAAATTCATCTCGAAGAAATGAATGACAAACTGTCAATCAAAATGCAGCAAATCATTGAATGCATTATTATTGTAACACACATTTTAAATGAAAATGGATAATTTTGGAATGATTAATGGTAATTGTTTAACCAACCAATGATGAAAAAAAAAACACAAACCATTTTTTCTTTCTCAAGGAAATTCAATTAGATATAAAATGATGACATTTTTATAGATGTTTAATTAAGGAAAATTTTCAGCGTTAATTTTTCTTCACCAATTCATTCATATTTTTTCCAACCTTATTCTCGCATATCATTCGCAAAAAAAAAAAAAAAAAAAAAAAAAAAAATTAGAATAAAGAAAAATAATATTAAAATAAAATAAAATCTCTAAATACACAAAAATTTTAAATTTTCTTAGAGTATAACCACTTATTAGCCAAGCAAGCAAAACTATTCCCTTTAGTTTTTATTTAATAAAATGTCTAAAAATTTACACGAACGAGCGTTACAAATTAAACAATATAAAGGGTCCGATATCAAATACATTCCCGCGGTTGATCTGCACAACCTCAATTTAAAATCCGCGAAAAGTCTCGTTATTAAAACCATCCAAGAATATTATTCTACCGAAGTGACTTGGATAAGATTTATAACGGGGAGAGGAAATCATCTAAACGCAAAGGGGAAACGAGCAATCCTTTATAATAGCTTTCCAACTTGGATTACAGATGTTAAAATCCATCATTTAATCGAAGATTACGATCAAGGTGATGGATCTTACAAGGTATACCTTAAAACTTCCAAAAAACTAAAAGAAGAATCCTCAACAATTACAATTTTGGATGTAAATGTAATTCGACAGGAAGTTTTCAACCGGTTAGAAACATTGGCCGAAACTGGAAACGTCGACTCTCAATTACTCATCGGACAATTATATTTTGATGGAGTTGGTATTAACATAAAGGAAAAACATGAACAAGCCTTCAAGTGGTTCATTAAAGCGGCCGAACAAGGTGACGTTGGTGCTCAATTGATCGTCGGGAATTTATTGCATGAAGGTAAAGGTGTTGCTAGAAATTATAGAGAAGCTTTTAAATGGTTACTAAAGGCCGCTAAGCAAAATAACGTTAGCGCACAAATTATTGTTGCAAAGATGTATTTCAATGGAGAAGGTATTAGGAAAAGTGATAAAGAAGCTTTTAAATGGATTAAAATGGCCGCCGTAACCAATAATCCTAACGCCCAATTTATCCTTGAACAAATGTGTGCTAAAAGTGAAGGGGTTAAACAGAAAGAAATCGAATTCAGAGAAATTGTAGCCTAAATTAGAAATTTATTTTTATAATTATAAAATCCACCACGATGTAAAATAAATACACGTAAATAAAAATAAACTCTCATTTGTGACACAAAAACTCCAATCTCAACCTGAATTAAGATCGACGGATGATTAAAAAGTGCATGGCAATTGCGCTTTTGGGCTGAGATTAGTGTAACCAAAATGCACATGATAAACTCTTTGTATTCGGAAATTGATTGTCAAGTTTAGCTAAAAAAAAAATATCGTTCGGTTTTTTTCACTTCTCTTTGATCTATATCGATATTAATCCCAATGACAATTTTAAATAAAGATTGTCTTTATTTAATCTTTGAAAAGTTAAATGATGATAGGAAATCCCTTCATTCCTGCATTTTGGTTAATAGGTTATGGTGTCATGTGGGCGTTCCGATGCTATGGAAGGAGCCTTGGAAATATGTTGTTTATAATAAAAAATTATTTGATGTGATTTTCTCATTCTTATCAAGTGAATCACAAAATCTTTTAATAAACGAAGGGATCAAAGAATATCCAATACTGAAACGACCACCTTTATTTGATTATATTCATTATTGTAAATATATGAGGTACTTTAATATTCGGAATATGATCTTATTAAAACTTGGATATGGTTATAATAGAAAATCTCAATATAAGATCATCGAAAAGGAAATCTTTAAATTATTCATTAGGAAATGTTTTGATATTAAAGAACTTCAGATCATTGACATCGAATTAGAATTACATAATTTTCTTGGAGCGGAAAATTGCTTTTCAAACCTTTGCAAATTAATATGTGATACCTCTATTAATTCAAATATTTTCTTTGGATTGGCAAGAATTTGCAAATCCATTGAATTTCTCTTTCTCAGCCCTTGCTTAAATGATAATGAAGGATTAATCGAGTTAATCGAGGTCCAAAAGAATTTAAAATATTTAAGATGTAAAGGCACAAAAGATCAATTTGAAAATGGTCAATGTGATGGAATCGAAAAGGCCTTGAAGAAGCAGTGGCATACTTTAATTCATTTTTCTATTGATAACTTATGTTTTAATCCAACAATCTTTCCCATCTTCAAAAATTTACAAAAACTTGAAATAACCGAAAAAAAACATGTATGCCTCAATAAAGGTTATTATAGAAATTTATCAAAATCAAAGTATTCAAATCTTCAAATTTTAATAACGAAGAATATCACACATAACATAGTTGAAAAGATCATTGAAAAGACTAATGGATACCTTTGGAAAATTGATATCACTAACGATATGCATGAGAAGATTGATCACGAAAATTTTATAAAGATAATTTATCAACATTGTCCAAATATCAAATTGATTAATATTTTAATTCATGAAAATAAAAATTTATTAGAATTGGAGCAATTGCTTTTAAATTGTCAATACTTGGAAGGAATTGTCATTGAATCCCCACCAATTTATAGAAGCCTAGATGAAAGAATTAATGGGAATGAATTATTAGAAATCATAACAAGGTCAGCTCCAATTGGCCTTCATAAGATCAAGGTATATAAAAATTTGGAAATTTCTTTGAATTCTTTAATAACATTTTTTGAAAATTGGAGAGGTAGAATGCCACTTTACTTTCATACAATAATGAGTTATTCGAAGCTGAACAAGGATTACCTTGACATAATTGAAAAATATGAAAAGGAGGGTATTTTAAAGGAGTATAAAGATTTAAATAATTATCCAAGTCCCGTAGGATGGTAAAATTAATGTTAAAATAATTTATCTGAAAGTGCAATTGAAAGATTTCAATTTTTCTTTATTATAGTAAATGTACGATTTAATTAAAGTTAAAAATTAAATAATACATACATTTGTAATCAATTCTGCTTATCGAGTATTGTTAATACTTTTTCCTAATTATAATGATATTACATTCATTTGAATTGAGTGTATTTAAATACTGGAAGGTTTGGGTGCGGGACGATAAACAAATAGGTGCGTGAATTTCATTTGAATCTTTAGTACTCAAAAGATTATGATCATCCTGTCGTTTCTCAACCTTTTATTAACGTTTCCATAAAAAATCGGTGGGCAAACGAAACAGAGATAAAAGATTTAAAGATTTCCATTCTCGAATGTTCTGTATATTAATTAATATAGTGTTTAGGAAGATGATAAAATGTGGAAGAAACATGATTCAATTATTATCAATGGCAGTAAAGTAATAATTGAATCAAACCTACTTATGAATCTTTCTAGATTTCATATGCTCTGGATCACTTAAATCAACAAATATAAAAATGCCGTTGACGAAATTCTATCAAAAAGTCATGAATAGGATCTGTATGCACTTTTAGATTTTCTTGTAACTTCAAATTGATGCCATCGTTCCTGACATATGGTTCCCCTCCAAATTTCCATGGAGTAAGTTAATCATCTCACCTCTATTAAAACAGATTAGAACAACAAATGTTATCACGAACATCATCGAAAATTAAAAATTTCACTTGGAGATGTTGATATGGGATAAAACCATTATTATATCGACAAATCTTTAAAATTCATCAAGTTATATTGAATATATTAATCTTTACAACATCCTGATTTCCATTACACAATTTTAGTAACGCAACAGATTAAACAACATTTTATCATGACAAAATAACTTTTCCTCCCGCTTCTTAAGCTGGTGATCACATATAATGAACTTCCCACTGATAATTATACACTTTTCATAACGCAAGAACAATAGAGATCCCTTCAAAAGAGTTTCTGCTACGTACCGAATAGAAGAACTTCTTTTCATTATTGTTCCTAATATAGAAATCCATGAGATAATTTTAGAGATACATAAAGTCAGTTTAAATATTGTTTTACTTACCTGTTTAAAGTTTGTTATATTTTATATTGTTTAAGTTTGATACTTCTTTTGGTGTAATAAATGAATGAGGATCCTTCTAAATATATAATACAATTATGCGATTGTACATGTGTAGGTAAACGTTATTTATATTTGACTTATTGATTAAACAAAATGATAATGTGAAATAACAACTTTGTAAATTTGACAATGATAGTGAATAGCTTAAGAACGATTCAGTTATGACATTATCTAATTGTCATCATTGCATTTTGAAGAGATTTTTTAATTTTTCTTCTGGATAATTGTCTTTTTATTATACATTCTATTAATAAAAATTATGCCAAAGGTACAAGAAAATGTTAGTTTCGCAATTTCTAATATTTATCATTGAAGTTAGTTTAAATAATAAAAATTATTATGAAATTATAAAATAAATTTTTGCGCATTTAATTCTGCTAATAAATTTGTGAAATGTTGTCATATTTATAATATCCTGAGAATATAGTCACTCGTCATTGCATCGTATGATTTAATTAATAAGTTTTGCTGTAGTAACATATTTTTTGGACTTTATAAAAGGGAGTTTTTGTGATTGATTCCTTTGAAATAGATTGTTTAGAAATTTATGTAACTATGAAAGGTTTATATTTACATTCCTTGATTCTAATATTGGTTTCTAAATGTTTTAACTCATTTTAAAATAGAAACAAATTTAATAATAAATATATCTATACAAACGTGATAACTACTGTACATACTATTGTATATATGGCAGGGATAAAAAAATTTTATACTGGCCAATTGAGATATAGTAAAATTTTATTAGAATTGTAAAAAATAATCGGTCTATCGGCCAGTATATACAGTAATAATACAGTATATTAGTAATGCTCTGTAAGGGTCGAGTTTGTAACAGATTCGAACTCGAATTCGTCAATACTTTTATAGAACTCGAATTCAACTCGACCGAATCAAATTAATGCCGAATAATATATTTTTTCAATTATGTGAATTGATTTAATAATGATAAATTTTTTATTAATACGCGGATAATGATTTGATTGCAAGTAAGTATAATCGTTAATTTAAATAATAAACATTAAGTTTATTAATTGTATCGCCATATATTTGTTGTATTTGAGTTTTTATCTTGCGGAGTCTCCTCTAAAATTTATTATAAAAATGTAATAAATTAAATTAAGATCCTTTTTAAATAATACTCACGAGCAGCTAAGACACCTAACTTCTGAAATAAAGATTCAAAACTCTTAATAAAGCAGCCTTTTCATTTACTTTATATCATTTTAAATCAAACCACAGATCGAAGTGTTAATAAAATGACAATACTGACACGAATAGTTAGTTTGAATTTTTGACGATTATTACAGTTACTGATTTTATCAGGAATTTTGTCATTTGAAATCGTTAAGTATTCTAGGTGAAGAAAAGCGTGTATCATCAAACGCTGTATCATTTAATCACATCTAAGAATGTGTCTCTATGTAGCAAGGCAATGGCTCAATGAATGCTACTTTAAGATTATTCCAGAGAAATTTTGCACATAGGTATACAAATCCCTAGACCATTAGTTGATAACAAACACCTTGGACCGAAGCTCGTGGGAATATATGTACGTGGCGTGGAAAAAATCTGACTTTAGCGTCTAATCAGAGTTACAAGGAAAATAGCTTATGAATTTTTATTAGATACGCCACTATCGAACAAATGATATTAAGGTACGAAACCAAACATAAATCAATCTAATACAAAAACTTATAAGTGCCATAGC